AGAAGAATGAATATGTCTATATTATGAATGAATATATATATATATATATATATATATATATATATATATATATATATATGTATATGTAAGCATGGAGTTCTTATCTTAGAGTGGCTTATAGGCTGTGGTCTGGGTAGTCTTATACTCACTGACTCATGGTGGAAAGGCCAAGGCTCCAGTTGTTGAGCCTCTGAAACTGGAGGTCTTAGAAATTTCATTCAGGGCCTGGAGTTCTGGAGACCTCATGGAGAGATTATGCTGGAATTCCAAGGGATTCTAACACCAGCAAAGAGATGCTTTGGCAAGAGGATAGATAAAGTTGCCAGTGACAGTGAGAAAAACAGGCAGAAAGCAAAATCTTCCTTCTTCCATGTCCGTTATGTGGGCTGCAACCAGAAGGTATGTCTGATATACAGAGCGAGTCCCCCAACTTCAAATAATATAATCAGTAGATTTCTTCACAGGCATGCCCAAGCTGTTGGGGTTACAGTTGACTCTAGATGCAGTCAGGTTGACATCCAAGGTTAGCCATCAGATTAGCAAAAGGGAGAAAGGGCATTATGTCTCCAGATAATTTGAAAGGATGAGAAGAATGGAGGGGGAGAGATAAGGTCTGAGAGAGTGCTAATATATATTTCCCCCCCTGAGATTGGAACATGGCGTTAGAGAGATCTAGGAAGAGCCAGGAAGCAATGCTAATGCTTACTTTAACGTTAACCATCACACAAGTAAAAGCTCAAATGTACTATCAGGCAAACTTGATCAAGTAAGTTCTTTTAGGAAGAGTTTTTATATATAATTTGAAAACTAATAACCTTTTAGGTTTGTTAGGAGAATTGCTGTAGATTCCCTTAAGTACTTGCAGTGCATGGATTGCTGGGACGCCTCATGGGAACTGGGCCTGATTTCTGACACCACCTGCTCCAACTGTGATGGCTTGAGTCATTCTCTACTTCTCCTAATACTAAGAAGCAATGTTAGCTACATTAATGTTAAGTACATCTCTTAAACTCATACATGTAGTGTCACCTGTGTACGTTCTAGAATTTTCCACGTTGTTGTTCAGGACCCTAATGAAGCATGGAACAAAAGCACTAGCTGGAAAAAATTCACTATCTATGGCTTGATGGCCACAGATAGCTAAAGCTCACAGAGAGCTACAATGTAACACTGATTCAGCTCAGCTCTCAGGAAAATATTTTTTATGGTCTTATAGTGCAGACTTCTGGCGTGATGCAAAGAGACGGTAGAAACTGTGGGGAACTTGACGAGGTTTTAATTTTCCCTATGAAAGTTGTTTTCATAGTTAACCTTATACAACCTATAATAATAAGCATATAATAACTGTTGTAACAGCAAATGGAAGCCGATGGGAGCTGAGGATTGGGTTGTGCTCACTCTGCTGCGGATCTTGCAAACTTACCTTATCATCTTTGAACTTTCAGCCTGAAAATAGTTTCCAAGAGTTGTAGATTCTCCACAAACGTCTGTCATCTCCATACTTCTGTGAAGATTGCAATACACCCAAAAGTTGGCCCACTTTTGGAGCTGGGTGATGTTGCTGTTTCAAAGCAGAAGAAAACTGGTACTCTCAGAGAAGACTGTGTTTTTCCTGCACTTATTTATTTTTCTGTCACCCCACTGGGTATTTAACTCTTATTCTTTGTTTTTTGATATTATAATTACATACTTTCTCTTTTCCTTTTTCTCCCTTCAAGCCTTCCCATATACTCCTTTTACAAATTTATGGCTTATTGTTTCATTTGTTGGTACATGCATATATGTATGTACATATATACACATATCTTCTTCTAAGTGCAAAGATGGAACCTGCTCAGTCTCTAACATGTTGCTTGCTTGCATAGTTTTAGTGTTGACCATTCAGTATTTAACAGCCAGTGCTGTGCTCCTCCCAGCGAAGACTGTTTCCCCCACATTCAACCTTCTTTAATTGCCTGTCGTTCTCTGTGTAGGTTTGAGGCCTTCTGGTCTTCCCTCTGTCTGTTTTGGCATGTTTGTGGTATTGTCCTTGCTCAGTTCATGGTTAGGCAGTCATAGTGGTGAGACTTAATAGGTACAGCTTCTGACATTATTAGTGAAAGACACTCTCATAGCAAACTCACCAGTCCTTGCTCTCCCTCTGTTTTCTCAATGTTCTCTGAGCTTTAGCTTCAGTAGATGTATCCATTGGGAATGGGCTACAAAACTGAATTTTAATTGGTTGTGGCTTTCTGACATGGTCTCCATCTGTTGCAAAACAAAATTTCTTTAATGAGTGATTAAAAAGAGTTTGACATCGTGATCTTTCTCAGATATTGCTCAAAGAACTAGAAGGTTCATTTTTAAATTAATTTTTATTAATTATTTATTACAATTTGTTAACTTTTTTAATCCCAGCTGTATCCCCATCCCTTGTCTCCTCCCAATCCTGCCCTCCCTCCCTCTTTTTTCCCAATGCCCCTCCCCTAGTCCAGTGATAGGGGAGGTCTTCCTCCCCTTCTATTTGACCCTAGCTTATCAGGTCTCATCAGGACTGGCTCCACTGTCTTCCTAAAGAGCCAGACACTGAGTTCATGTCAGAGACAGCCCCTTTTCCCCTTACTAGGGAACACAGTTGGATACTGAGCTGCCATGGGCTATATCTGAGCAGGGGTTTTAGGTCTTCTCCATGCCTTTTCCTTGGTTGGGGTATCAGTCTCTTCAGGGCCCTCAGTGCCCTATTTTTTTTTTCTCCAAACACTTTTTTTTTTAATTTTTTTAAATTTTTTTACTATTAATTACATTTTATTCATTTTGTATTCCCCCATAAGCCCCTCCCTCCTCCCCTCCTGATCCCACCCTCCCTCCCCCTTCCTCATGCATGCCCCTTCCCAAGTCCACTGATAGGGGAGGTCCTCTTCTCCTTCCTTCTGATGTTAGTTTATCAGATCACATCAGGAGTGGCTGCATTGTCATCTTTTGTGGCCTGGTAAGACTTCTCCCCCCACAGGGGGAGGTGATCAAAAAGCAGGCCAATCGGTTTATGTCAGAGGCAGTCCCTCTTCCCATTACTATGTAATCCACTTGGACACTGAACTGCCATGGGCTACATCTGTGCAGGGGTTCTAGGTTATCTCCATGAATAGTCCTTGGTTGGAGTATGAGTCTCTGGAAAGTTCCCTGTGTTCAAATTTTCTGGTTCTGTTGCTCTCCTTGTTTTTTTTTTTTTTTTTTTTTTTGTTGTTGTTGTTATTGTTGTTCTGTTTGTCTCCTTTTGGAGCCCCTGTTTGATTTTTTGTTCCTATTTAGCCCATTCACTAAGTGTGGGGCAAGACAGCCATGGGAAAAGCAGTATGTTCATGAAGGAAGTCACTGGACAGAGACACGTCTTGGTGACAAGTTATTTTCAATGGTAGAGGGCTTGAACTTTGCTCTTTGAATTTCTCCAAAGTCTAGGTCTACCTGTCAAACTGAAGCCTTGTGAATATTTTTTTTATTAAGGAACTTAAATAGTAAATGAAGCCTTATAAACCTATTCTAATTTTAGACTATCTTTTTTACTTTGTATTTATTTGGGGTTTAACACATTCCACACAGTTATATATCTAGTTTTTATTTTTTGTTTCACGTAGATACATTCTTTTCAGCACTTACATATGTGTGTTCATTAAAGGTGACAGATGTGGCCTTTGTTTCCGGTGTGTTATCCTCCCTCCATTACTCAGTGTGGCATGGGGTGCCTGATCAGTGCTGAGTTAATGAACAGGATTAAGTCTCTCACATTGTATAGGACTTAGTCCTCATCTCTGAGATCTCACAATAACAAATATATTCGACTGTTTCGAAGGCACTGAGGGCATCTAGATCTTGTTAAGCCTGCGGAGGGCATAAAGTTAACGACTTGCTCTTAACAGAACTGTACAGTTGGGACTACTGTGTCCCCTGAAAAGCTGGTGTAGGGTTAATAACAGCACCGTCCACTTTTATGTAGCTCATTGCAATTTGGAATGTAGTTAATAGCATATTACTCATTTTAGTGTCACCAGGTCCTGCATGCTGGTCAGGGCAAAGCCCTTTTTCCGACAAGAAAATTGAAGTGCACAGAGATAAGGACTATGTATAAATTCACAAAATTGGTGAGTGGCAGGTTTGCTGTAGAACCCACCCTTTCTGAGTCCAAAAGCAGTATGTTTTCCTCAGTCTACTTTTTTTTTAAACAAAAACATAATAAAATCCTCTGTGACAAGGAGAATGTATAGATACTGCTCCTTAAAAGATTAGAAAATAACTCAGTGCAAAGTATCTCAAGTTCATTTTGCAGTTGCCTTAGCTTGCCTATTTTCTTCCAGAATCCTCTCAGAGCATGGGAAAGGGAACAGAATGACAATTGGGATAAGAATCCTTCCTCTGCTGACAAAAGAAAGGGTTAAAAAAAGTGACCTTTTAGAGGCTTAAGGTGGCAAAGAGAATTCTGAATTATCTCAATGCAAAAAAAAAAAAAGAAAGGAAAAAAAAAAGAAATTCCACTAAAAAGCTGTATATCCTCCCTAAGGCTTTTTTAGTGTCTCTGGAAAAGTCAGTGGGTGTGTGTCTGGGGGAAGGGTTGAGGGCGGGGGAGGGAGGGAGGGAGGAGGATCTGACTCCTTCTAATAGGCTTTCTTAAAAATGAAAAAAAAATGAGAAGAAAAGAAAAACCACACACACTTAAATAGAAAAAGAAATAAAAGTTTGTGTTGGTAAGCTGCGTCTGCGTTTTACCTCTACAAGAAGGAGCGAAAGCTCAAGGGGCAGAGGGGCGCGCTCTGATTTGGTTGTTTACCATCAATCAGACGGTTGCCTGGCAGACACTGGATGGTTATGAGCCTGAACAAGCTGAAAGGGGCAGGAAAAGAAGTGGAGGCAGCGTTCTTCCTATTTAAAGCTGCATCGCTTGAAAAAACTCCGCAGACTGTGCCGGAGCTGGTGCTCAAACAGACTGAGGCGGCCCGGGGGCTGGTGCTGAAAAAGAGCCCCCAGCGGAATTCATGGTGCTACAGTGACCTCAGTATCTACTCTTCATTCCCAGGAGGACCCACATGTCTCATATTTAGACATGATGGCAAACTGGGTGGTAGCAAGACCTCTCCTAATTCTTACTGTTTTATTAGGGCACTGTGTCTCAATAAAAGCCCAGGAACAAGAGAATGGTGAGTTTGCCTTTTGCTTTGCTTATGGTGTTTACGGCTTGGTTTGGGAATTAGATGGAATGTTAAGCTTCAGGAAGAGCATGAAGAGGAGATTGGTTTGAAATTTGAGAGAGGGGCTATGGGATTTGCACCTGGGAAACAGCTTGGCTCTGGAGACTAGCGGCACGCCTGTAGTTCTGGAGCTTCTGTGCCTGCCCTGGCAAAGAGTGGGCTTTTGACATCCTGCAAGAGCTAGGATCAGATCAGTCTTTTTGCTCGAATGTAAGAGTGGGACGTTTAAAAGAAAAGGGTACTTAAAAGGGAGCCCCGAAGGCACTTTTAGTTAGAGGTCCGCTGTGTGGGCTGGCGTTTTCCGAGCTGGGAAAGCCGGGGCAGAAGCTGGGCAGGGTGGAGTCTTTCCTGTGCGAACTTCAGCAGCTTCATGAAAGTCTTTGTTTAGAAAAACCTCTGTGGCAACTCTGATAGCTTGGAATTTCCTTTGTCTTTGCTCTTCATTCCTTTCTTCCCAAAGCCTTATTCTCCTCTCCCAAGGTTTTCATCTATGATCTTAAAATCGTGTTTGCTTACTGAGAGGGAGTCCAGTTTATTTCTCCATGACAGAGGCTGATGGAAGCCAGATTTCTTAAACTGCGGTGTCTGGAGTTCTCCCACCCTATTGACTTGATTATCAGGATAGTGTGGTTCCTGGGAGAATGGCTGAAGCCAGAAAATCAGCACACCTTATACATAACTTATTTGGAGTATTGATAAGCACATTTCTTTTAGATCGCTGCATCCTTCCCTTCTCTCTCTCCTTCTGTTCTTTCCTTTTTCCTTTTCCTTTCTTTTAAGGAGTATCTTGCTTGGTTACTGTTTTTTGTTTGTTTGTTCTCTTCCCTGTGTGCTCTACATAAGTTAGTGTTGGGCCGTGCTGTTAAGCTTTTGCATGGCTGCTATAGAATATTTAAAAAAAATTTAAGACTGTCTCCATTGATTGTTAAATTCTTAACTTTTGAAGGTTGAAGTGTCACGTCATAGACATGCTCTTATTTGTTATAGGCCAGCTTAGAGTCACTGCTAGTATCAAACTCAAGCTTCTAAAACTTAGCAACTTTTTAATCGTTTTCTACTCTCCTTCTCATGTATATGTCCATCCACTTTCAAATATATCTCTATTTGTTTTTTGCCTGTAGTTTTTCCTCTGAAGATATTCAGAAACATCTAAAGATGTTTAGCAACGATGAGTTCTAGAAAACCTATAAGGAGATAAAAGAAAATTCTGGAGATGTATTTCAAGTCTATCAGTAGTCCCATAGAGGGGGCACTTTTCTAAAATCTTGGAACTTGGAACTTTTTAAGTCAGCTTCTATGTTTCAAAAAGTGAGGGAATTTATAAAAGGTGAAACTTAGGTTCCTTGTAATGCATGCTGTGAAAAGTGTACAATGAATGCCTTGAAAATGCAAGAACAAAGAAGTTAAGAAGGAAGAGAGCAAACAGAAACATGGAAGTAAAAGTCTGATTATCAGGGAGCCTGCTCCCTCTCCTTCCCTTCAAGCAGGCTGACTTTAAATGTCTGTACAGACGGCATTCCCAATTTATATTAAAATATGCACTTAACTTTTTTGAGGTTCAGAAGTAATTGAATATGTGTGTAAGTGAAAGGTGTAAGATGCTTGAAAGTCTTACAGTGTAGGCCATATGGTAAAAGCCTCTTCTGCCATTGCATTTATTCTGTAGGTGTTACTGAAAAATAAGGGCTTACTTTTCTCTAATATTAATTTACGTAAATTAAGAAGATGAGGGTGGTTGAAAAGTCCTACCTCTGGGCCAACCTCTTTTCCCCTACTGTCATTAAATAGTACAGAAACTCAAACCTCAAAAGACATGTTTTTACAGAGAAAGTGAATTCTCTCAGACATTATAAATAGCGATTCAAATGAAAGTAATGAAAATTAATAGCAGAGAAGTGTGTGTCTGATGACTGAGTAAGCTAGAGCATCCAGAGCCACTTAACTTACCCTCAGGTTACTTCCCACGCATCTGGGGTGCACACTGACACATTGTGGACACTTGCTGTGTCACTTATCCTGCTAGACTCTAGCAATTCTAGGTTATTTTTGAATTTGAGGAAGAAAAAATGTGGGAAATGCTTTATATTAGAGAAAAGTCTAAAGCATACATGTCAATAACATACAATTTTCCAACAGTTGCTATAAGTAGTATGAGCTGTGGCATTTCCTTTGTATTCCCTTGACTGTGTATTGTGGAAATCTGGCCTTGCATGTAAGCATGTGTTTATAAGCTTAGCCATTTCCTGTTGTTAGTATAGAATATAGCAGTTTTCTTTTTGACTGTGGGAAATAAAATAGAAGCACGGTGTCAACCTGACAGGAACACATGTGCGTGCTAAGATAGAGTAAATACATTTTTACACATGTCTGGACAAAATAGAACAAACTCTCACTAAAGTTAAGAGTTGATTTGAATTTAAAAGTTTAAAAGATGATCTTTTCTAGTTCCCACAATTTGCCTGCAAATTTCATGATTTCCTTAGTTTTTAATAGCTGAGTAGTATGCCATTGTGTAAATGCATCATAATTTCTGTATCCATTCCTCCATTGAGGGACATCTAGGTTGTTTCCAGATTCTATTATGAAAAGAGCTGCTATGAACATGGCTGAGCAAATGTCCTTGTTGTATACTTGAGCATGTTTTGGATATATGCCTAGGAGTGCTATACCTGGATCTTGAGGCTATACTCACTCATAAGTGGTTATTAGACATGTAATGTAGGATAAACATAATAAAATCTATAGTCCTAAAGAAGCTAAACAACAAGGAAGATCCTAGGGAAGATGCTCAATCCTCATTCAGAAGGGCAAATGCGATAGACACCAGAAGCAGAAGACAGGGAACAGGACAGGAGCCTACCACAAAAGGCCTCAGACTCTGCTGATTGAGGTATTGAAGCAGAGGCTGAGACTCATAGCAAACTTTGGGCAGAGTGCAGGGAATCTTATGAAAAAGGGGGAGATAGAAGGACTTGAAGGAGACAGGTGCTCCAAAAGGAGACAAACAGGGCCAAAACAACAACAAAACAAAAAACTGGGACCTGGGGTCCCCGAAGAGACTGATACCCCAACCAAGGACAATGCATGGTGAGGACCTAAAACTCCTGCTCAAATATAGCCCATAGACTCAGTCTCCAAGTGGGTACCCTAGTAAGGGGATCAGGGACTGTCTCTGGCATAAACTCAGTGGCAGGCTCTCTGATCACCTCCCCCTGGGGTGTGCAGCCTTGCCAGGCCACAGAGGAAGACAATGCAGCCAGTCCTCATGAGATCTGATAGGCTAGGGTCAGATGGAAGGGGAGAAGATCCTCCTCTATCAGTGGACTAGGGGAGGGGCAGGGAGGAGAAGAGAAAGGGAGGGTGGGATTGGGAGGAAATGAGGACAGGAGGCCACAGCCAGGATACAAAGTGAAAAAATTGTAATAAATAATAAATAAAAATTTAAAAAAGTTTGTTAGAAACTCAAAAGAAAGAGTTTGGGAGTTATGTTAACTTTAGTTGAAAGTATAATGTAGCCAAAATCAGAGCCAAGATGATAAAATTAGTTTTTTAAGCTTGCTTTTTCTCTCTCTCCCACTCCCTGTGGTGTGTATTGTGTAGGGAGGCTTTGGAATGTTCCACATTTGTTTTTTGTAGAGAAAAATACTAGACAGTAAAATTTTATTTCCAAATCAAAATGCAACATCTAGGGCACATTTCTTGTTATTAGCACTAGGCAGACTTTCTCAATCTTCGGGAATAATCTTTGGCATGAATCATTTTATTCAACACTACAGGAGTGATTGAATGAGAAATTGCAGAAGAAGGTGTGAACTGTGAACTTCCAGAAGCCAGCCATGTAACATAAACAGTGCTGGAATAGTTTTGTGTATTAGCAGGGTCAGCAGGGTCTAATGGGAAGTGTAGAGAATTGAAGACACATACATGCTCACTTTAAGCTTTACAAATTAGCGTTTTTTCAAATAGCATTGCATAAGACAAGTTCAGTATGTCTAAGGGCCAAATCTTGCTCATGGACCATAAATTGCCAATACCTGTGTTGCAGCCCTACACTGATATTTGGTTCCAAGCCACCTTCTAACTAGCAAGAGAAAAAGTGTATATAGGCTTTTTAATACTGCGATGCCTTGCATTTCTGTGATGTTACATCTGTGATTTATCTTGTAAGGATATAGATAGGAAGCTTTAGATGTGTGACACTCAGCAGTACCTGGATAACATCATTTCAAAGGCATCACTGAGGAACAGGATGAGCATATAGCCTATGATATTTGCATTCATAAATTGTTCTATACTCACTACTGTTGAATTGGTTCCAGTGCTTCACATGGTAGAGCACAGTTTTGACTAAGAAAAATATAACAGAAGCTTGTTTACATACTCAAAAGAAGCTCTCAAGTAGAGTAAGGAGCTGGTACATTGAAAATAGTTGTGGACTCAAATTTTTATCTCTGTGTTCTTTTATTCCTAGTGTATAGTCTTTGATTTTACAGGTCCTGGTGGCTGCTAGAGATCCAGCACTTGTATGTAGTTGCCCAGGCACCTGGATAGAGAATGAGAAAGCTGTGATTATGCATTTCTTAAATGGAATCTTCACAACATTTGAGCTTATTTATGTTTGGCTGGGATTTAATAATCTGATCACACAAAGATGCAAGAATTTTAGGTGGACTATATTAGTAATATACTCAATTATGGAGGACACAGAAAGAATTGCTTCAGTGGACAAAATACTTGAGTGATGCACTCTGGATACTATTCATCTCTGAGCAGAATGCAAAGCCAAGAATACATCATATATATATATCATATATATGTCATATATATGACATATATATGATATATATGATGTATCATATATATGATGTATGTATATATGTATATATGTGATGTGTTCATATATATGTATATCTACATATATGTATATGTATATACATCATATCACACAC